TGTGCTTTGCATACATAATCTCGTTTATTTCCCTAATGTTGTAAAAAAGAGGAACACGATACAAAATAAGGGGAAGAAGTATGCATCTTTGTATTTTATGCTTGTCACTGGGAGCCTGCAGAGAGGTAACAAGATGTGAATTGTCCTAAAAAGGAGACCACCAAATGGTAGGGGGGAGTAGTTAGTGCTGATGTTAGGTAGGAGTCTAAGAAATATCCAAATTGATCATGTCCTTGAAACAGTTCCTGGTAGCTTAACCACATGTCATCACAAGCTCATAAATAACCCCCCATTGGTGGCCAGCATCTTACAGGGTCAGACATGCCTCCACAGCTACTAACGTAGCTTAGGCATTTGGTACCACTCCGTTCCCTTTTCCTGGCAGCCTGGCCCAACTATCTTATAATTTAGTCTCTGCTTTCTCAGGTAGAAGAGTAGAGCCATTCTAGGAGGGAAGTTTTCTTTCAGGGCCTTAAAGGGAATTACTTTAAGCTTGATTAAGTAGGGGTTGCTTGGATCACTGCTGTCTGACATGTTATAGACTGCTAAGGAACAAGCAAAACTTGTTTTTATTTTGTGTAGATTAATAAAAAAATAAAGGCATTTGGTAAGGTTTTAAAAAAATTATTCAAAGTCTTGACAGTGCTGTAGATATGAGAAACTTTTAATTTAATGGGAATACTGTGTGTTGTAACAGGCTAACTTGTGACTTAGGCCACCCAGTTTTAGTTTGTTACTCATCAGTCTGTCATCATAGGGTGAGAAAAATAATGGAATTTCAGAACTGGTAAGGTTAGTTTGGTAGATTCTAAACTTAAAAAAATTAACTTAAAAAATAGATAATATGTGCTCATGTTACAAAAGTTAAAGTGTATGAGAGTGATATACAGGGAAAAGTAAATCTCCCTCTCTTCCTGCTGCTTGCTTCCCTCTGCCAGAAGTGGCCATTCCCAGTTTCTTGTAACTAGTGCTGGTGTTAAGAGACCAGGAAATATCCAAATTGATCGAGCCCTTGACACAATTCACATTTACATATTACACAAACAGGTATGTGTATATATTCTTTTTTATACAGAGTGCAGCATAGTAATCACATTTCTGGATCTTGCTTTTTTCAGTGAATAAATTATCTTGAAGGTTCTATATAATGCTAGTAAATACAGAGCTGCTGAGTTGGTTTTACTGGCTTCATTTGTATTCCACTGAATAGATGTTTTACAGCTTATTCAACTAAGTCTCCCTGATGGACATTTGTTTTCCACTTTTCTGCTATTATAAACAGTGTGGCAGATAAAATTTTATCTCTTTTGTTTTAGTAACATCATTTCTAGTATCAGTATGCTTTCTCAAGCCATTTTCTTCCTTCTTAGTCCTGCTAATTTTTATTTATTTATTTATTTATTTATTTACTTTCTTGTAACGGGATCACAACCCTCG